CTAGAGTACGCCCATCCCATACTTCGAGGAAGCAAATAAATGTTATATTCCACCCCGCCTAGATCAAATGTTTGGTGTTTTCTAGTTTATGCAATTGAGTAGCAAAATAGATGTCTCACTTAATCGAATATGTTCGCGACTTATTAATTTTGTCTCAAACGTCTGCTTCGTATGTTATTGGCATGGAATAGCCAGATGGTTAGGATGCTTGACTCGCAATCTGAGGGCCGCGGATTCGAATTCCCCATCCCATCAAGCATGCTCGTCCTTTCATTCGTAATTCAGGGAACAAAATAGTAGGGCCTTTAGAAAGTTGACAAAATTGCATAGTTAGCATAAAAGATTTTTCAAAGAAAAGTTCGTTTCTTAACAAATTGAAATATAAGTCAGCGTGCAACAATGTGTCTCCACCTTACTGGTCAATTAGGGCAATTTTATAAGTCATCAGCTAAAATGACGCCAAACGAAGACGTGAAAAAAGTTAAAATGACAAAGTGAACAAAGACATCAGACAAAGTGAACCAAGAAAACCCCGGCACCAGGCAGACGAACTATAAAGCTATGAACAGAACGCCATTGAATAAAACGATATAGAACAAAACAGCGCGTCAACGGCGATTTTTTTTCCACTTTACAAAATGACGTCACGTAATTTGGCACCAAAAAGAAGTAGCGGGAAAATAAACGACCTTTCAGGACAACTAATTCAATTACCACTAGACATTAGTTAGTCGGATATTTTGAAGTAAATAGCTTTCCTACATAAAATAATTTATATCACTTAAATCGATGCAGAAAGATAAACTGAGAACGTTACTGATGTTTTGTTGTTGTCGTTTTTTTTGCTTATCGATTGGACTAAGACAAGAAAAACTTGAACAATCGTAGCCTAAAGTTTTATGTTATTTTATAAGAGGGTGATTCCTACATTTTCCAGAGCATTCTCTTCAGGGATCTAAAGAGATTAAACCTTTGAAAGGTTTACGTCATCTGTCAGAAGATTCAGTAGTATCATTTCATACACTAAACCTTCTGTTTTTTGTACATTTGTAGATAACAAACAAGTCACAAAAATGGCTACTCTGCAGCAAGCTACTATCCAAGACTACCCAAAATGCCAATAACCACCAATACTTTTGTTAGTAAAAGTGAATATAGAGTTGAAGATATGAAAATATTTGAGTTTGTCCCATTGCAACTGGGACAGATATCTAGATGATTACATTTCATTACTATAAATAATTTAACATACGCTATGGTAATGATATTTTCAACCTGAACGGCACCTTATGCGCTAAATGGCCAGATCCGAGACTCCTAAGGTTCAGGCATAGCCATTCCTTTAATTGAACTGTTGGTCAGTGGGAGGGCAAGCAATTAATAGTACTCTCCCACCTCTCATCTACGCTAATGCTTGTAAAGCAGTAACGAGATTAACTATCACAGTAAGAACGTCCTCCTCCCCAACTTAAAGTTCGAAGTGTGTTCAGCGCTATATTGCGGCTCGAACCTTTAGATACACAATGCAGCAGGCTAAATTTCAGGACTGCCTGGCCATTTAATATAAGACGAGAAAAATAAAGTAATAAATTTACAATGGAAAATAATAAAACTCAATATGAAAATAATGGAAATTGAATTATGAATTGCAAATAATTTGGTCCCCCCAGTGACACAGCGGTATGTCTGCGGACTTACAACGCTAAAAACCGGGTTTCGATACCCGTGGTGGGGAGAGCACAGATAGCCCATTGTGTAGCTTTGTGCTTAACTTCAAACAATCAATCAATCAATCAAACCCTCAGTGGGAGAGTGGTAAGTCTACGGATTTACAACGCTAAAATCAGGGGTTCGATTCCCTCTCGGTGGGCACAGCAGATAATTTGATATGGTGTTTCTATAAAAAACACGGATATAAATAATTTAATGTAAATTGAAGAAGATGGAATTTTTAATTAACAATTAAAAATAATTAGGTGTAAATTAAACAAAATTAAATGTTCAATTAATAACTTGAAATGAATAATTGTAAGTTGATTAAAAACAATTACTGAAATAATAACTAAAAATAATCCAACACAAATCGAAATAAAGATATTCCTTATGTTTTAATCAGAAATAATTATATGAAACATGAACAAGATTTAGTTTTCAATTATTTTTTTAGAAATAATTCTGTATAGAATAAACAGAATTAAGTTATTAATTAATAATTAACGATAATTAATCGAATGTTGTACAAAATAAATAAATGTATAAATAAAGTATACATAAGATTGACGAATGTTCGTTTTCTGTTGTAATACGCGTTTACTTTTGTTCAAACAAATACAAATCTCTAAAAACATGGACGATGAAACAGATATAAACAATAAAAAGGTAACATCGCACGTGGGTGAACAGATAAAAGGAAATACAAAATGGAACCTCTACACCAGACTTGAATGGAATAATATAACCAAAGTGTCAGCTACTAATTTCAACGACTCTTCGTATAAGAGGAGGCCTGGTGGTTAGGGCACTCGACTCCCTATCTGCGGATCGCGTGTTCGAATCCCATCATCGGACATGCTCATCCCGATCAACTATGGGAGTGTTATAATGTGACGGTCAATCCTACTATTCCTTGGTAAAGAGTATCCCAAGAGTTGGCGGTGAGTGACTAGGTGTTTTCTCTCTAGTCTAGCACTTTAAAATTAGGACTGTTAGTGCAGATATCCCTCGAGTATAAGAGGATAGTGTAATATTCTCGCAATTTCAGAAGCAAGCAAGAGCCAAAATATATTACGACTAAGCTATATAATATATATGTCTCGACGTTGCAATAAAAGTGACCAGACTACTGTCATTCTCAGAGGATGGGGTTGAATAGTTAAGGTAGATTATTTTATGTAAGAGAGATGTTTATTTAGGCATATCTTGTCAGTAGTGTTTAACATAATTTACACAAAAGAAGAGCCTGCAAGCCTTTAATTAGATGGATGGTTAAGGTAACGATTTATTTAATAAGTATATCAAAAAGTTGGTTTAAGATACTTTCCACCCGTGTCCTGATCTGTATTAATCTTCCAAACGAGTTACAGTGGATCTGGCCTGGTGGTTAGGGCGGTCGACTCGCAATCTGCGGGTCGCGAGTTCGAATCCCCGTCACACCAAACATGCTCGCCTTTTCAGCCGTGGGGGCGTTATAATGTGACGGTCAATCCTACTATTCGTTGGTGTAAGAGTAGCCAAAGAGTTGTCGGTGGGTGGTGATGACTAGCCGCCTTCTCTCTAGTCTTACACTGCTAAATTAG